CTAAAGTAATAAAAGTTTTACTCATCATTGACTTTTCAACATCAAGGTAAAATGTCAAAGTGATGAAAAAGGCACACCATGTTTAATTATGACTATAAAAGTGGTTTTGACGTTGTTTCTCCCACAAAAGGATTACGCTACAGTGATTTGTCTAAAGAATACTTTTTGTAATATCATCCTCGTGCTCAAAAGATTCCAATTGCCTATTATTGCTATGCAGGCTACTTAGGGCAGGTAGCACTCACATCCTTAATTCTTGTGCCCTTGAGCCTAGCATTGCACCATGAATCAATCCCAGCTTCACACCCGAGATCCAGCCACCTCTGCAAAAGCCCCAACCATGATCACATGAGGCTTTGGAGGAACATTTAGACACAGCCGTAACATTTTTCCCTTGTCCCCCCAAAGACTTACGCACATTCCTTTACACAAAATGCATTTAGTCCAACGTTAAGAGTTGCCAAATGTCCTAACAGTTTCAGCACTGTTGAGAAGTCCAAGTCCAAAGTCTCCTCTGAGATTTAAGGCAAACTCCTAGCTGTGAGCCCCAGTATAAATGAAAAGAAAGTTAACACTTCCAACATACATTGGCACAAAGTAAACATTTCCATTCCAAAAGGTACAAACTGGGGGATAACAAGGAATGAGAACAAAGCAAGACAAAACCCAGCAGGGCAAACATTAAATCTCAAAATTCTACTTCCAGTATCCCCAGCAATCTGTGGCAAGTGGTCAGCTCCAAAGTGTTTGGGTGGCTCTGCCACTATGGCACTTCTGGCGGTTGTAGCTCCCATGGTTTCTTTCTTTGGCTGACTTTGCTCATTCCTTGTAGCTTTCCTTGCATAATCCAAGCTTCTGGCTTCTCCAACCTTCTGGGGTATCCACTGCACCTTTGGCTTCACACTCAGAGTTCACACCCTGCCCTCTCAGGGACACACTGCCTGGCCTCCCAGCCCTCCTTCTGAAATCTGGGTGGACGCCTTGCTGACCCCACAACTCTTTCATTCTGCATACACCTAAAAGCAGCACCACATGGATGATACCAATGTCTGCTGCCAGCTGGAGCAGTAGTCAGGCTTCCTTCTCTTTTGTCTGTAGGGTCCCAGTGCTTATGAACCAAATTTCAAAGAACAACTTCCCTAGGTTGTTGCCATTCTGACACATGGTGCTCTTGGACTCTCTTCTCAAAGCAAAATCTTTTGCTTTTGTTAATTTTGTAGCTGCAAAAGGTAGAGTTCTGCTGCCTCTTATGATGCACTCAGGCCATCTTTTCTATTCTCCCATTCCTCCTCACCAATCAAGATCTCCTCTGCTCTGTCTTCGTAGTCCACAGCTTTACTGTAGTTTCCTTTCTGCCCAAACTGAATGCATTATTTATTTATTTATTTATTTATTTATTTATTTATTTAGGTACCGGGGATCAAACTCGGTCCTTGCGCTTGCCGGGAAGGTGGCGGAACCACTGAGCTAAATCCCCGGCCCACTGAATACATTTTAAAACATTCTGCTGGGCTCTTTGATCTTGATTCTCAACATAAATCTGGCTAAACGCCCCCAACAGTAGCCATGCTACTGCTTAAACATTAAATTGCCTTGAAATTTCTTCTACCAGTCAATTCACCCCCCTCCTTAATCTCAGGCTCAGGCAAAGTCTCTGGACACAAGCAAAATACAGAAAAGCTTTCTGCAAAGATATAACACACATCATCCGGAGTCCAACAGCCAATGCAACTCTTCTTCCCAGCAGAAACCTCCTGAGCCTGGTCTTTACCAGCAGAATTTCTATCGGCATTATGGTCTTCTGAAATCTGACCAGAATCCTGTTACATTACATTGTAAGGCATTCTAGCTCTATTTTTTCACCTGGCATCTCCAAACCTTTCCAAACTCTTCCTCTTCCCACAACCCAGTTCCAAAGACTCCCGAACCACATTGTCAGTTACAGTCACAGAAATGACCCCACTTTTCTGGTATCAAATTCTGTCTTAATTACTTTTCTCTCATTGCTGAGACAAAACACTTCACACTCAAAGTTAAAAGGGAAAGCTATATTTAGCTCACAGTTGGTAGAAGTTTCCGTCCATAGTCACTGACTCCAAGGAAGCGTAGCATAGCAGATAGACATTGCAGAGAAGAAACAGTTCTTGCTGGGAAGAAAGTAGCAAAGCAATAAAGAATGACCACAGCTCTTTTTTCCTTTATATTTTATTCAAGCTACTTAGGGCAGGTAGCACTCATACCTTTAATCCTAGTGCCCTTGAGCCTAGCATTGCACCACAAATCAATCCCAGCATCTATACCCTAGATCCAGCCACTTCTGCAAAAGCCCCACCTATGACTCCATGAGGCTTTGAGGAGACAGACAGACACAAGCCATAAAATCAGACTTTTCAACCTGGAATGTAAACTTTACACAATCTTACATTAATTTTTCTGTTTATTTCATATGCTGTTTTGTGCAAATTGGCTCCACTCTAGATGAATAAAGAAAGCTGTTACCATTTTTTATTATTAACTTGGTAATTTTCAGTTTCTTTCAAATGAATTTGCTTTTCTTTTGCCTGAAGCACTTTACATTCCCTCATATTCTTTAAAAACAGGTAAGTTCTACTATGTTTTCAAGGTCCAAGTCAAGTGGGATGAGATGCTTTACATACAGTTGGTGTCCAGTAAATACTTGCTGAAAAAACAAGTATCAAGCAATTCATTTACAGGTTTCACCATAGCTATCATTATTGGCTGAAGTTAATGTCTTTGTTCCCTGAATACATTATTTTTCCTTGTGAAGTTTATTGTAGTACAATGTGATTCAGCTCACTACTCTGATGTCATTAGCCATTTGATTCTCTTTAATATTCCTAGACTTCTATAGAGATCTGTCAACCAACAGCCCATGGATGTTAAAACACTTTGAACTGTGTGGAAGAAAATCAACTATTTTAAAGTTATTTTTTTAAGTTTCTTGACCCAATAATACCATCAGTTACTTTCCTTAAACACCAATAAGTTACTCAGAATTAAAGAATTTCCTCTAAACCTAGACATCTCGTTATTTTCCTTCTGATTTCAAACTTAAATGTTATATTGAGTATAATGAGGTAGAATCATATGATTATATAAAATGCTATAATTTAGTGCATATTATTCTTTAACATAAGAACAAGATATACATGTTTCTTAAAATTAGATCAGAGACTAATTAGAGCTTGTCTTTCAGGGAATTTCAGGCAGCTAGTTTGTTTTCACAGATCTTGAGAAAACTTTAGACTATCAAAACAAAATGAGATTTCAACTCACTTTCCCATTAATCAAATTGGGATAAAAATCTCAATATTTTGTTTTCAGTGGTTATATGCATTGAAGAAAAATATATATGTCTCATCTGGCAGCAGACAAGAATTGATGCCTATTTCAACTATTTTTAGATCACTGAGAAATGTACACCTATTTTCTCTCTAGATAAAATGGTATTTATGGTGGATGTATTAAAGAACTCATGATTATTGTCAATAAATAATTATTCATTTAAAGATTTGCTAAAATGCATTGTGATGTAAACAATTCAGAGATTAAGTTATTGCTGTGCTAAATTCAAAAGTCTAAAGGGTAGTGCTATGGGTTTCCACATGTGTTCTAGAGCCAAAATTCAGACAGATTTTAAGTCTGGATGACTTTATAAACTCTAACAAATAATGCTCGCTCTGTAATAAGCCACTGCTATAAACTTTAGCAGCAGAATCCCAGGCAATCTAAAGAGATAATCTTGCCATTCCCATTCCCTCTGTTTGTGGGGCATCCTGCTAGATATACCCAAGAGTCCATGAGAGGGGTAGAGTCTCTACCAGCACAGCTAGATCAGATTCAGTGTTCTCTGGGAGGTTCTTTTCCAGATATTGGGGAGAATTGTGATCAGTTCCCTTCCCTACCCATTGATCTGTTCTCTCCAACCTGCTCCACACCAGGTGTTTCTAGTTACTCACAGTCTTTGTCATAAAGTACAAGCTTATTTCCAGGAATAACTGTTTGGTACAGGTTCTCTTGTGTGCATCTTCATAGATGTGGAGATTTTTCTTTCTTTGTCTGACCACTTAACTTAGTTCAAAGGTCACAAGGTCCTGCCTTTCCCTTGCCACCTCCCTGGCCTCAAGGAGCTCACTGACAGTAACAATCATCTGCCCCAACTCCTCTCCAGTGGCCTGTAAGCATGAGTTTCCATAGTTTCTACTCGGAGGGAGGAAAAACATAAAGTTCTGCCTGTTTTAGATACCTCGCGTATAAATAGAAATACGACTTTATAGTTTACCAAGCATTGCTGACTTACTACAAAATAAGTTATTTAATTATATCCTGAATAGCATATGCAAGAATTTCCTCCTCCACAAACTATATTCCATGTAGATATTCTTTGTACAAAAAAGAAGATATTTTTATTTGAAATATTTTTATCCATGTTGGGACTTGGTTCACAGAAGCAGATGCTATAAATTAAGATAAAGATTAAATCAAGAAAGGCATCAGGCAGTACCTCTCACACACACACACTCACACACACACACACACACAAAGAGATGTTATACTAGTTGAAGTCATTTCCTACCTAGTGGAAGTTTTGATTTTTGCTACAATAGTTCTGAATAATTTGAGAAAGATGAGGGAAAAAATGAATGAGGTAGAATCAAAGTTTAAATTGCTGAATTAACGGAGTTGCTGCCCCTCCCAAGGAAAGAATGTATATGTATCTTCCTTAAGCTTCTACCTGGCATGTTACACTTTTTATTAGCTACTTCAGTTTCTTACATTATTTGGTTAGTGTTCCATATTTGCAAAATAGAATCAGTGGAATCAGGTGATTCACAGCTCAACTGACAAAGGTGAGATGACACTGTTATTCTTGTCACCCTGTATGACTACACAAGTGTTGTTGTTGTTGTTGTTTTAAAAAAAGCTTTTCTTTGAAAGTCCTTTTCAGCTATTAATTAATTTGTTTGTGTTTTGCTTAGTTGGGTACACAATGAATGATCTAATTTTTGAATGGCAAGATGAGGCACCTGTACAAGTGGCAGAAGGACTCACTTTGCCCCAGTTTCTGTTGAAAGAAGAAAAAGATTTACGATATTGCACTAAACATTACAACACAGGTAGGGGTTGATTATTCTTTACACTTATGAATTGTGATTTTATGATACTCAGGGTTTTATTAATTGTAATGGCAGTTTAATTATTTTAACTTTATATAGCTCAATGTTTCCATAGGAGCAGAGCAGAAAATAGATACATTTGAAACTTATATATGTATTGATTTGTTACATATTGTTATATAAATGGATTATATGAGATCAAAGAAATGCTTGGTGCCTAATTTCATATATAATTTTTGTGAAAAGCCCATATTTACATAGAAATGACTCTTAAAATGTTTCTTGATTTTTAATACGAGAAATGAAATGGGGTTTTTTACATTTCACGAACAAAAGGCCACTACCTAATTATAAAATAAAAGGAGTTGTTGTTTTAAAAAGGCTTTCTTTGCCTCAACTTTGGTTATAGTTTTATGCATTTTAAGACATTTTTATCTAGCTGACAAAAGAACTTTGTGCCTCTCAGAGTAAATATCAGATGTAGTAGTCACCAACACCAACAATTAAGAGATTCAATGTGAATTCTACATTTATGAAATGTATTCACTTTTCTTAACTAGTGTGGGCTCTTCCCAAATACCTAATCTGTGTGTAACTGATTACTATAAATTCCATTGAACTGCCACAATTAACATATCTGTCTAATGTACTGAATACATGGCCTCCATCGGCATTTGCTGCTGCTCTTACCATTTTATTACAATAAAGTATGATTCACTTTAGCCTCAGCATTTCACAGAACTATGATCAGACCTTTTACTATATACAGTATATCTGTTCATAAAGTCCCTGACAGTTTAACTCAGAGATAAAGGTGACAGACATGAGCTTATTAGGGAGTTCAAGGTTAACATCTTAACACAAAGATAAAGGGCAGGTAAGTCATTGGCTTCCTCAGCTCTCTAAGGACAGTTTGCTGATACACTCCTTTTAGTGAATTGTGAAAATCTCTCGAGTTGGGATAGTGTGTTGTATTAGTTTTCTAGGGCTGCCTCAAAAAACTGCACACAGATTTTGTAGCTTAAAGCAAAAGATATTTATTTTCTCACACTTACAGCGATTACAATTCCAAAGTCAAGGTGTCAGCAGAACCATGCTTTCTCCGGAGGCTCTAGGGAACAATCCCTCCCTGCCTTTTCTAGTTTCCCATTTCTGGCAATCTTTGGTATTCCTTGGGTCACAGATACACTATTCTGTGCCTTCATAGTTACATGATATTCTCCTTTTATGTCTGCGTCTCTGTATCCAGGCACCAGTAATATTGTATTAGGGTTCCCTTAATCCAGACTAACCTCATTTTAACTTGAGTACTTCTGCACATACCTTATTTCCAAATAAAACCACGTTCATAGTTTCCAGATACCCATAAATTTTAGGGACTTAAATTTAACCCAGAAAAAGAGGTGAAGCTGTAAACATTACCTAGGAATGAATTTTTATGATCCATGCCTCAGGGTTCTTCCTTAGCATAAAGCAAATTTACGTTCTTCCCTAGAGTTATGCACCAAGTTATTATGACTTAAGGGAAGAGAAAATACATTTATGAATGTCTACTGTAAGCAAAAAAAACTGCACAGGTGTTTTCTCAGATGATATCATAGAAGTTTCATAGCTTTATAGTCTAGGAGATTAAAATATCATGAACTGCGTGAAATTATGAGAGAATAAATGCATCCGGCAATTTTCCCTGTCAGGTATGCACTTAATTTCCCTTAGATCTTAAGCTCCATTTTATATTACTCTTACATGTGAATGGTCAGGAATCATCTGTTAGTTATTATCCAAGAGTAGGCAGAGATACCACCTTTATATTTCTTAAGCAAATGCACAATAAACAATGAAGAAAACTCCAGGTTTTATGAAAATCATACTTACAAAGCAGTTTTGCTAATAAAATACATTGAAGTTAAAAAATTCAAATACAAATGACAGCAGAAACCCAAAGGCTTTGTTCTTATTCATTGTCCAAAAGTATTTTTGAAGCTAGATACACTGAAGGCCTATAACCTGTCTCCCAATCTCTTCAAAAGTTTCTACCTCTCTATTGCTGTGATGTACAGATGATGGATTTCTCTTATAGAAATTGTTTGTTTTTCTCTGCAGAACCACACACAGAACATACATATGTATGAGTGTTCACGTCCACAAAAGATATGTATATGTATATGCGTGTGTTCTTACATGTAATGGTATGTGTGTATACCTTTATTTTACTTCTGAACAAAGCATATGAATGCTTTTTTAAAAATACAGCAATAATTTATTTTTTCTTGAGAATCACATTAAACTTAGAGAAATCATACAAAATATTCAAATGATCAGTAAATTGTTATTAATTGTCATGTGATTACTTAGTGTGTTATTTAACAATGATGTCATGAAAATGTTTATGTTATTTTTGGCATTTTTCCTTTATTTTTAATGAAAAAATTTTAATTTTTGTATTTAATAGAGCTTTAAAGCTTTAAATAGTTTCATTTATTTCAGGACTCTTTAAGCCTTCTATATGCATTTGATAAACAGATGAGGGGGACAATATGTGGCTTGAAGGTGTTTCTAATTGCTAATCATTACAAAGTGGAATCCAATTTACCCAGAGCTTAGGAACATCTGTTGAGACTTTTAAATTCTAGAATCACTTCTACCCTTATCCCTTGCATCACTTGTGCGGTCTTTTGGGAGCAAGTTACATTAGCAGATCCTTCACACTGAAACCTATCTGGCAAGACACTAGCACTCTTCCTGGATAAGGTCTTTCGTTCTTTCATGTTTGGTTCAGAAAATGTTACTTAATGAAAAGACTATTAGTGGTCTGGCTTACCCTTCTCAAAGTCACTAACATTAAAGAGAATGAAACCAAGAATTGGGTGATTTAGAAGAAAAAAATTAAAGGAAAGTAACAGAGTAGTAGAGATAACAGATAAGGGAGTGAAACCAGGGGTTAAGCAGAAATACGAATTCAATGTTTAAAATACAATTTATTCCTCTATTACCATAACAGACATAAATAATAATACACAAAAATAATAGATATACAAAATAAGTGTAAATCACTTATTTTAGTGTATTTTAAAATTATGCCCAAAGTTACTAAAAGTAAACACATATTCTTATTTCATTATTATTTAAGGAACCATTCATCTTGCATTTTTCTTCTCTTAACAGTTACATTAAAGTAAATGTAAACATCTCTGAAACAAAGAGCTCCTAGGTCTAAATAAATATTGAAAAGCAGCAGAAACAGTCCATGAATAAAGAAAACCTTTATATGGTAAACATACATTTCATTGTCTACTTCAGAACAATTACTACAATCCAACAAAAACAGAGATTTTTCAGTACATACGCAAGTTTAAGTACTATTCGGTGGTGAAGAAATAAGATTATATACTACTTTCTAAAGCTCTCCTTACATAACTTCTAAATGCTAACAGAAAAAAAAAATCAGAAACAAATTTGATTATGTAATTTGGGGTTTCTTCATTATAGGAGGAATTTGATGACAAAATTATTATGAAAATTAAATTGTAATATTTGATGTCATGAGAAAAATCTTTTTTGCTAATCAATGTGTTTATTTTAAAACTAATTAGGAAAGTTTACTTGTATAGAAGTACGATTCCATCTGGAACGACAAATGGGATATTATCTCATCCAGATGTACATCCCCAGTCTCCTGATTGTGATTCTATCCTGGGTTTCATTCTGGATCAACATGGATGCAGCTCCAGCAAGGGTAGCTTTGGGAATAACTACTGTGCTGACTATGACCACACAGAGTTCTGGGTCACGAGCCTCCTTACCAAAGGTAAGTTCACTAAAAAGAAACAGAAATATTTGCACATACATTCATAAAGATATCATAGTCAGATTAGTCAGGTCTATTTCAATACCATTTATGTCTCATTACTGTTTTTTACTGTAATGCATTACCAAAGCAGAAAACTTGGAAAACACAAAAAGAGAAAAAGAAAAAATATATTTCAGAAACCAATGATATCTGCTGTTCATACTTTGTGTGATGTTCCCCCAAGTATTTAATCATCAATAATAGTCTTAATGGCCATAATGGCACGTGTCTGTAATCCTAACACTTGGGAGACTGAGGCAGGAGGATTGCCACAAATTTGAAGCCAGCCTGGCCTACGGAATTAATTCAAGACCACTGTGAACAGCATAGGAAGACCCTGTCTAAAACAAAATTTTTAAATACTTTTATACAGTAACAATTTTATAAATTCTTTGTATCTGTAAAATTTATAAGAAATAGAAATATAGATAATATTGAAATTTATACATAGAAACCTACATGTATATTTTATAGCTATATGGAATATACAGAAATATATCTATAGATTTTATGCAAATTTTAATATAGAAATATATTAAACATTTATTTAAGTGGAATTTACATGATATTTTAAAGGTTAAAAGTTAAAAGGTTAAAGATTTAAAGGTTAGTATAGTACTGCACTATAGATACACTATAATTTACTCATTCTTCCAACTAACACTACACGTAACATTTATATATTGAGTGGTATATACATGAATATATATGTATGTGTGTATAAATGAACATATATATATGCATATATAATAGCTTAATGCACATTTCAGATTATTTTCTTAGTATACATATTTAGAACTGGGCTGAGGATTTGACTCAGTGGTTCTGACACCTGCCTCACAAGCGCAAGGTCCAAAGTTCGATCCCCGCTACCAACCCCCCCCCAAAAACCATATTTAAAACTGAAATTTCTGCCCTGATATCTGTAAGTATTGAAATATGTTGCCAAATTTGCCTGCAGCAAAATATGGTAATTCCTATCTCACAAGTATTTATGTCAAAGCCTGAGTGTTGCACTTTGATCAATTATGGTATTTATCATTTAAAAAACATTTCTCCCTCTGTCTTTTGAGTAGCCATATACCAATTAAAAGGAAAGTTTATCTAATTCCATGATTTTAGTACATATTAAGACTCCAGAATTGAAATAAAACTGTCCCATCTGTGGTGTTTTTAAAACACCCAATATTTCCTTTCATAAGTTACACTGAGTTAAAAAGAAGCTCTTTTCATCCCTTTAGCCTCAGAAAAATAGAAATTATTTTCTTCTTATAATTTCTAAAAAATTTATTTTATCTAAATTAGATAATATAGTAAATCTTCAAACAGGATGTCACTATTATTTTCATTGAAATGATGTACTGCAATGCAGTAAAATTATATTAAATTTTCTTTTGCATTTGATGTTATTTTCTGTTCCAAGTAAATTGTAAATGTACTATGGTGATAACCTGAGTCCTTCCTGTGAATTGCATTATATGATTTTTTTACATTAAAATACTAAATAAATAAAAGTTGGCCACAGGATACTTTGTCACTAAAATGTTACATAAGGTGGGAAAAACATGATGTTATACAATACTCATCATGCCTCACTAAGATTTAATGGTTGTCTTTCAAAATAATATACCTTTTTATTAATAGTTATATTTTCAAAGGGGTCCACATCAATTCCTCATTTATAAAATATTGTCAATGTGAAAAATTGTAAATCTATTTGTCAGAGTAAACTCTCAATGCTAATTTGTACATGTCTCGTCCGCTACATTTATTCTTGGTCACAGACATATGGCTTATCTGGGTCCCTTCTTGGCTCGCTGGAGACTGGCTGAGTTGGGTAATCGTCGATCTAAGCTGTCTTCTGGTTCAGGTCTGCTGTCTAGGTCTTCCCCATGGGGAAGGGCAGGAAAGCAAGAAGAGAGCAGAAACATGCAAAGCTCTCCTGCAGAATTGGCACAGAGTCCCTTCTGTCCTCATACCACTCATAGATTAGTTATTTCCTGTGTGTCGACATAAATAATTTATAAATGTATGTACAAATAAAAACTTGATACTAACAAAATTTTGTCTTTTAAAAAGATGTCCTAATGTTCTACCTCATAAAATTAGAAAGAATCATGCAGAGGAATGTGAATTTTAGTAACCTAGTACAGTCACCCTGAATAGGAAGATTAGTGATTGTGTAGTAGGTAGATTATTGTTCACTAGCAAGGTCACGCAATTTCATTTATCCCAAGGAACAACTAATTCGAAAATTGGGGTTCAAATGTAGAAGATTTAGTGAAAATCAAGGCTTCATCAATTCATAGGTATTTATTGAATCTTCCTTTGTGGCTTATGACATAATCAATTTTTGTCAATAAATAAAGTACTCCACCCATAGGAAATCTTTGTAGAAGAGATGAAAGAAAAGATTTTAAACCAACAAACTTATCTACTACAGGGCAATGATTTGTTAAACATTTATTTCTCCTTTCTTAGACTACAATTGGGCTTAGTAAATACTCAAGAAAGCAAAAGTGGGGGGAGATGTGGAGGTGGAAAGGAGAAATTTCAAGGAAATTCTACATGGATTTCTCTCACTTTACCTCTACCACTGTGGCTATCTTATTCAGAGCAGAGCTACTAAACACTAAAACATCAGAAGCACTTAAAATTTCAAAGATGACTAAAAATTTCACAGAAACATGTAGCTTATGCAAATTGCAAATTCTACAGTAAAAGTTATTTGTCCTAAACACTTACTTAGAGGCTTGTATCTCAATTCTTCCTGTTTCTCCCATTCACTTAACCTGTGAACCCCATCAAAAGCAGTTTTTTGAGAGGATAAGCTGATCTTACCTATTTCCATCCTCCAGGGCTAAATCAGAAAATAATATGTAGTGAATGACTATCAAGAAAGCATTTAAAAACGTGTGTGTATAAAATATCTATTTGGCACTTAAGTCTTAATTTGAAAAGTGAGTATTCTATTTTTAAAAATCTTTCTCTAAAATAATATAAAACACTAGAATTACTCTGTTATGAATTATATTTTCCCTATAGTATAACTAAATTAATAAAAATAATTAAAATTTCCATTTACCTAGCTTTCAGTGTAACGAAAATTTGGTTCTTAGAAAATATAATAAAAGTAGCTTCAACACCAAATACACAAAGTGATTATAACTACTAGAAAATGTAAACTGAGATATTATATGCTATTTTTAATACCATGATTATGCTAGCACACGTATTTATATATGAGGTTGATTGCACTGCAAAGATAGAGAATGGGAAGGAAAATGAAGGACATGTATTCACTGTTTTTCAAAATCCATTAAGTGAACATAAGTTATTCTTCTCAAAAAAACAGTAGTCTTCAGTTTTAAACAGAGTAAATAGGACATGTCTGCAACAATGTAAATGGGTTTATGGAGCTGCACAGCAATCAGGTTTTCCTATTAACAAAGCAGTGCAAGCTGAAACTATCAGTAATGTTTTGATCTTTATCATTTAACACCTGAAATCTCAGAAGGTCAGAAGGCTGATGCAGGAGAATTGCAAGTTTAAGACCAACCCGTCTAATTTAGCAAGATCCTGTCCCAAAACAAACTAAAAAGAGAGGCAGGTAATGTAGCTCAGCACTCTTGGGGTTCAATCCTCAAGATCAGAAAAAGAAATAAATAATTTTTTATTTATTCAAACTATGGCTAAGTGATACTACTTCAATTGGCTTGAGTATTTTTTACTTTCTTCTGTAATAAAATATTCAATAAGTAAATTTAACTTTCTAATATACTATTTGGATAGCAGCAATATACATAATTAACTTTCTAAAAATTTTGGTGGATTCTACTAATAGTGTGATTCCATATACACTTATTTAGGAAAAAAAGGAAAAAGACCCAGAAAGTAAAAGAATCATTTATTCATGGTTTCATTAAGATAACAATATAATGCATATGCAACCATTCAATTTTACTACTAATTCAAACATTGTCAACTTTGTAAACAAATGTTTCCTAAAAAATGTGTGTCCAATAAAAAAAGGAATTAATTAAAATCTATGGTTCCATATTTCATTTTTCTACATTAGATTTACTAAATCACACTGAAGCTGAAAAACTAACAAATATCAAGCATACTTGATGTAGAAATAGTACTTCTACATAAATTTTTAAAGTTTAAAGAACAATTATAAGGTTTCAAATTTTTTAGAAAAACAATGGTCTTGGCATCAAAGTCAGTTTAAAAACAATAGTTCAATAAATAATTCTGAAACTATTTTACCTAAATAATGTATAAACTTCTTTTACTGCATTCATAATCTCCTAGAATCATACTATGAACCCCCTAAAACATAAAAATAAAATGTAAAGCTTCCCCTTTGCCAATGGAAAAAAAAATTCTTAGTCCCAAAATCAGTGTTGAAAAGAACCTTACAGACAGACTTTATCTGCCTTCCTGGTTCCAGTTTGAAGTTATAAATAAAGCTCTTAGACTCCGGACAAAAAGGAAATCAGAAGGTATATGATCACAATAAGGATGATGTTAGAAAAATACAAAACTTCCCGTTCAAAAATGCAGCACAGGGAGGTCACAAATACAATTTAACTTTAACTGAGTAAGTCAAGAGGGATAATATACTAAGTAATGACAGTAAGTCTAATAGCAAGTGCCAAAGAAGCATTTCTAGTGGCAACTAGCTTTATTTTAGTTTCATATAAGTGCTAAACATAAAGAAACGAGTGAAGTACTATGGAGGAGAGGACAGTAAAATTCCAGTAACTGAGTCAGAGTCAGAGATAACTGTGTGACCTTTAAAATTTTTTTATTGCCTTTTTGGTCACAACTTCCTCTCCTGGTGACCAGAAGGACTGAGCAAGTTCAGCTGTAGAAATACAGTAGCTTTGTTAGGATGTGATCCTCTATTTGGTCTTCATCATTTATTTTATCTGTTAAATTAAATACCTTTA